AACTAGAAATAGAAAACTAGAAAAACTAGCTGCAGTGGGATTGCATGGGGGGTAAGATTGGACCAGCTCATGGAGACTCCCAGACAGGAGTTCACGTTTGATCTAGCATCATTCAGGGACCATTTGGGACTTGTGAGTCTGGGATTAAAAAAATATGTAAGGAAATTTACGTATTGTAGTATATGGCAAGGTAGTGCAGTATGGGGGTGAACAGTGGGGTTGTGGACCCTAGTGGGCTTGGGTTTGAATCTTGGCTTCGCACAAACACAAGCTATGTAAACTTGTTGAGCTTCTTATGTATGAATGGGGAGTGCGATTATATACACCTCATAGGGTTGTTTGAGTAGTAAATGAGCTGTTTGTAAAATGATTGGCACAGTTTTGACACTAAATAGGAACTCAAAAAAGTGTGGTTGTTGATTTATTTGACAAATGGCTGTTGGACTCCTACCATAGTCCAGGCGTTGTTCTGAGAACTGAGGATGCAAGTGAATAAGAAAGCTGTTGTGGAGGTCTCTCATTCTAGTGAGGGAGGCGATGAACAAACAGTTACCTAAGATATTGGCAGATCATGACAAGCAATACAGAAAAAATAAGGTATAAGCATAGAGATCCTCAACCTTGGCACTATTGGCATTTTAGACTGCTAATTCTTGGTTGTGGGAGGCTGTTCTGTGCATTATTATAGGCTGTTTACCTTCAGCCTTGATCTCTACCTTTTTGCTTGGTGCCAGAAGGACCCCTCAGGGTGACGACCAGAAATGTCTCCAAACATTGTCCAGTGTTCCCGGGGCAAAGTCACCGAGCTTGAGAACCACTGGGATAGAGGATGAGGGAAGTGTCACGTCATTGTTAGGGAAGACCTCTCTGATAAGCTGGCATTTGAGCAAATGTAAAGTGAAGTCTGAGTGAAGTGAAGCAGTGAGCTTTGGGACTCAGGGTCAAGGACACTCCAGAGGGAATAGCAGTCAGAGGCCTTAGACCAGAATGTGCTGGCAGGAAACAGCATGGAGGCCAGTGCGGCTGGAGCAGGTGAGTGAGGCGGGTGGCAGGGGCTTACTTTGGTGGGTAGGATGGCACCAGATTATGGCAAGTCTTTGGTGAAGACTTTCGATTCTTCCCTGAGTGTCATAAAATATCACCAGAGGATTTTGAGCAGAGGACTGCCATGATGAGACTTGTTTTGAAAGGATCCCCTGGCTTCCCCAAGAACAGACTGGAGCGGGAATGGGGAGGCAATGTTGGAAGCAAGGAGGCCAGCCGGGAGCCTCCATTGCTGTCAGCTGGAGCTTGCTGTAGCCTGGGCTAGGGTGATTAGTCTGTTCTCCTGCGAAGCAGATGCCAAGACAGCGAGCTGTTCGAGAGATTTACTGGGGTAGCACCTGTGAAAGGAAGGGGCAAGGGAACAAGGGGTGGCAGGGAATGTCACACCTCAGTGCAGGTAGAACACCTGTGAAAAGAGGGGGAAGAGAAGGAGCCAGCAGAGGAAAACAAGGAGCCGCCAGGAAGGTGGAATGTAAAGAAGGGTGACACCGACTGTCAGATGCTGCTTATGGATCAAACAAGGTGAGGCCTGAGGACTGACCCTTGGATTTAACAACATGGTGGTCACTGATGGAGGGCAAAAGTCTGAATAGAGAGCATTCAATAGGCAGGCGAAGAAGCGGAGACACCCAGTTTGAGGAATTTTTCTGTGAAGGGATGCAGAGAAATGGGATACTTGGAGATGAAGCCTTTTCTTTTGACAGAGGAAATGTTAATACCGTTTTTTTATGCTGATAGGCATGATCCACAAGAAAGAAAAATTGATGCCGGAGAGGGGAAAATTGTAGTCTGAAAGTTCCATAAAGGTGAATGGGATTGATTATGTACATGGTAGTGGGATAGTCCTTAGCGGTTTATTCATTCAGTGTTTTAGTAAAGGAGGAAGGAAGGTAAATGGGTAGAGATGCAGGAAGGGAAGTGTATTTGGTGGTGAGAGCATGTGAAAGTTCTCTTCTGCCTCTTTCTCAGTGAAGTAAGGAGCAAAGTTATCCACAAAGATGGAGGAGCAGTGAGGGAGTAGTGGAGGTTTGAGGACAGAGGAACTGGAATAAACCAAGCGACTGGCTTCCAAGGTGGGGTATTAATAACAACCTACAGTTGCATCTCACAGAAAATGCTCAGCTTACCTCAGTTAATGGGAGCTCATTCTCACTGATCCTACTGTATTTGCTTCATGTTATATACTACATGGCTTCTGTGTATTATCATACTTAATTCTCACAACAATCCTTTGAGACATAAGAACTACTATTCCCATTTTGCAAACAAGGGAACGAGACTTGGTGAGGAAAAGTATCTTGCTTAAAGTTATATAACCAGGGAAGTGGTGGAGTTGGAACTGCAATCCAAATCTCTCTGACCACAAAGGCATGTGAGGAAGAGAGGACTCTATCCTACGAACTGCAAATCTTCTTGGAAAACTACATTGTTTCCCAGGTTAGATCTGGTGTCTGGCATGTGACCAGGTAGTCCAGCAGCAGCTCTAGTCAGTTCCCTTCTAACTCTGTTACCAACAAAGTGAGTATATCAGTCATGGATACTTTTTACTATAATGCTTGCCACATTATCCACTGACAAATACATTGACAAAATGTTTAAAAGGGGGACAGAAGAGTGAAAGAACTTAGCTGGTGCGGAGTTTAGAGAACAAGCCTGTGCCTGTCTCCATTATATCTCTACTAGACTAGGCACACAGCAAGTTTTTGACTGCAAAGCTTCAGAGTTGTTGACTTTATAAATGATCATTGACATCTCTATACCTACTGTGCACCAGAGAACTCTTTAGTCACTTCCTGTCCCCCACCACATCTCCCCTATTCCACATGCCCAAAGGAATGTTTTGATTGGAATTATTTGTCTTTCTGACATTTTGCTGCAAGCCCTCCTGAGTTGAATTAGGTTATGAAAAGATAACATAAGATGAGTAAATGGTGTTGAAGAGGCACAAACTAGTTGCAGTTGGTCAAACTATGCCTAATGAGTAAAAAGGGGCCTCCATGTTCTTTCCTTACACTTCCTTCTGATTGCTTAAAACCCGAGGCTTTATCTGTGACTCTTGACTGGCCTCTCCTGAAAGCCCCTTGTTTATGGTGCCACATAGATGATGGGTTTCAGTTCCTAGAGGGCGCGGGCTTTGAGGTTTCTTCTGGTAGCCATCAGCATGCAGGGATCATGCTTCCAAGTCTGAGCTGGTAGATGGACAGCCCACTACGAACCAGATCCTCAGCTTGCTCATTCAAGCCCTGACGTAGTGCGTGGAGTCTTTGACTGGATCTGCCTGGACTGGTCTTTGACTTGATTTCTTGAGGAGAGGGTGCACAGTTGATTGCCATATTATTCTTAGTGTCTTTTGTATGTCTGAAATATTAAATACATTGAATAAATGTTTAAAAGAGGACAGAAGAGGAAAAGAACTTAGCCAGTACAGAATTGAGAGAACAAGTCTGCACCTGTCTCTGTTGTATCTGTACTAGACTAGGAACACAGCCCCTCTCCCCTCTCATCTTCAGCCCTTGCACTTCCACTGGCCACCCCCTCCAGCCCCATCCTTAGGCAGGAGCTTTGACTGTATAGTTTGAGGGAATATATTGGTTACATAATTGCTGTTTAGAAGTATACTGGCAGGTTGAAATTTCTGTAATGAGTTTTTACATAGTTTAGTAGTTTAGTAATTTTCCAGAAACATAGGTAGCCTGGGCCAGGTGGCAGGTTTTCCCAATTCTGTTAGGATTCACCTCCATTTCTTTTTGCATGAGAACAATGTTTTCTTCCAGAACTGGAGGGTGGTGACAGGCTCCCTGTGGTGGAGCATCATAAAAGGTAAAGCAAAGGATTTTTACCATGGAAGCACCTTAGTCAAGGGGCCTGGATACAGGATGGGCAAGAGTGGACATGGTGTTTTAACATGCAGCTTTCACAGCAGGCCACAAAAGGAGGTGAGCTCCCTGTGTTCAGGCTGTTTTCTGGCTGCCAGGCTAGCAGAGTAAGCTGATAAATCCAATGTTCACTTTGTTCCAGGCTTTCATCTTGGCCGGTCAACTTGGAAAAACCAAAGTAGTTTAACAAAGCATACTTTTGGCTAAATAATTGACATGGGGAGTTACCTCCTACTTGGACTTTTTTTCCAGTGAGAAAAACCATTATTTAACATACATTTTGCTATAAGAAAAAACCTGGCTGCCCAGCACAGCACCGGTGGTGGTGTTGCTGATGTCATTCGCAGTGTCACGTTTCTTCATATTCTTGTGATGCACTATCTCTCCTCTCAGTGGACTCTCTGCCTGCTCTCATACTATTCCTCTGTCACATTGCCACTTACCACTGTTCCTTTTTCTCCTGAAGCTGTATCTTTGACTTAAATGAATTTTATTTTCGTTCATCCTAGGTTAAGGATGGCAAATAGATTTCAGTTGTTGTGCCATCTTGTCCATTAAAAATGGCTGCCTTGAGTTCTGGGTTGGTAAGGATTCAGAGGCAAATCTAAGCACAGCAGGGAAGAATGCTGATTGATTAGCAGTGTCTATGATGGGCACAGGGCACTCATCAAAAATACTCAATAAAAATGTTAAAAATGAAGAAACTCCTTAACACATCAAACTATGAATGGTGGTTATCTATAGATGGTTAGATTATGGAGGACTTTAGTGTTCTTTTGATAATGGCCTATGCTTTCTACATTTTGACAGGGAACATGTATTACCTTACTAAGCAGGAAAAAACACTTCAGTATTATTTGAAAAGAAACGTCTAATCTGAGTGGAACCAGTCATTTGAATGTGCTGTGTCAGAGCTCAGTTCTGCTGCTGGGTTGTGTAGTAGCAATACACATAGCAGGGGGCTAGGCATGCTCACTGCTTTGTCCTTTGCTGTAACTGAAAGATCTTTTGACCCTGCGCCATAATTCTTATGAGGTAGAGTGGGACTGGCTGATTGGTTTCCCTCTTCTAATCTGGCAGGTCGAGGTGGTGCCTCTATATATGGCAAGCAGTTTGAAGATGAACTTCATCCTGACTTGAAATTCACGGGTAAGTATATCGTCTGGCTGGACTGGGTGGGAAGGAAGAGTGGATTTTAAAAGCTAAGTTGTTTGGATGTGATTCAAGGTACATGCCTGACACCATGGCTTGGTGCCATGGAGCTGCCCAGCTATGGTGCCACAAAGAGCCCTGGTGGGTTAGAGAAAGTACTGCCTCTCTGAGAGTCCTGAGAGATTCAGAGTGCTGGTCTGAGTGTTTGAGGCTCTTTTAACTATTTGTTGAATGTTGCCCTTATAAACTACAGGAAAACAAAAGCTTCCTCAGAGAAGCAGAAGATCTTGCTGGATTTTGGGGGGAATTGGGAACATGGTCCAGGAGTTACTGGGGATCGTTATGGTTGGAGGCTGGAGAGGAGGTGAAGACCAGGACGGTGAGGTTGTCAGAGTAGTGCGGTGATGGTCTTTGTGTAAAGGCAGAGAGCCTGCCCTGAGGGAAGGTTGTCCCAGTCAGGTGGTTGATGATAGAGGTCAGAACAAAGTCTAGCTTCTTTTCATCCCTAGGATGCTGTAACAGTTCCAGGCTGGGGCTGTAGGGGTTTTTCATATTCTTTCCTCTCCCTTTTTCCCACCAGGGGCTGGAATTCTCGCAATGGCCAATGCAGGGCCAGACACCAATGGCAGCCAGTTCTTTGTGACTCTAGCCCCCACCCAGTGGCTTGATGGCAAACACACCATTTTTGGCCGTGTGTGCCAAGGTATAGGAATGGTGAATCGAGTAGGAATGGTGGAAACAAACTCCCAGGACCGCCCTGTGGATGATGTGAAGATCATTAAGGCATACCCTTCTGGGTAGACTTGCTGCTTTCTTGGGCACACCCATGTGTTCTGCAGTGACTCCAGTGAACCAGCTTCCAGATGACCTAGAGAAACACGTAACTCTAAACTTCATTCTGGACTAGCAAATCATGGTGCTAAGGAAGCCGGGGTCTTGGGTGAGTTAGAACTGGAAGTGTATTTTAATAGGATGCTTCTTTTCTCTTCCACTGGCTCCTAGGTTGACAGAGCATTTGCAGAAATGACCATACAGGATCATTTACAGATGACTTCTCACTGTGAATGAGCATACTGCTCCTCCTTGTGTGTGTCTGCTCTAATACACTTGGAACAAAATGAAGCCGACTCTGTCATTTTGCAGTGCCTAAGCAAACTTCTTCCTGCAGAGATTTATATTCTGGCCTACGCTGCATCTTTGGTGGCTGACAGCCACAGAATTCAAAACCCAGTAGTGTCTATCAGCCTTCTTAACTCTGTGCATACCCTTTTTCAGTCTCCTACATTTGCTCTTCCACGGAATGTATATATTTCTCTATAGATTTTCCTTCTTGAAACGAGAACATCAACACTGCTGTTTCTGACACTTAGACATCCCACGTAAAACCACATTGAATTTTTGCCAAATGAAAAATGCAGCCAACAATCAAGTTTCTAAGAAGGTATCAAGTGGAGAATGATAATGTGTAATAATAATGGAGAAATGAACTTACTAAAAGGAAGCAGAAGCATTGACCATTTTTTTCTCCAGGAAGGAAACCTGTACAGAGCATAAAGATAGACTGAATTCTCCTTAAAAAGCAGTATTCTCATAAAGGAGAAGCACCACTTCAGCTTTTTTAAGTCTAAGACTAGAGAAATTATATAAGAGATTTTACAAATTTCTTTTTTTTTTTTTTTTAAATCTTCCTGATGCTGGTGAGAGAAAGGAAATAAATACCTGTGTAATACATAGAAACTTCTGAAATAAAATGCCCCTGAGGGTTGAAAGCACTGCTGTGGTCTGGTGTAAGTATTGTCTGAAGTTGTAACAGCCATTTTAACCTCTGAACCATCTCAACTAGCATTGCAGGGCTCACTTCAAGATCTCACATCATTTTAGATTTGTGGGTCTCCAGTGGACTTCCCCCATTCAAGAGCAGGTCTGACTTGAAAAGGGTAGTGCTGGAAAAAGAAGCTAAGTGATGTTGATTGGCATTTCTGAGTGAAGGGGAGCCATCTATAGATTAGCCAGGTGAATGTGCTGAGAGACCTAACTCATTCCTTGAGCTGGCAGGAGATCTACCTTCATGGCCTTACGGACTCAGAGGCAGTATGTGTTGTGATGTTTGCTTCCTTAAACTGGTAGCTCCTTGATTGAAAAGGGGGTTATTGTAACTTTAATGTTCTTCCTTATCACTCCATAAAGTTTGGAAATGGTGAAAGTTACTTTATGTAATGGCTAAACAAGATTCTATCCCTGAGCCTTCCCCACATCCACCCTCTTCTCTGTCCTCCTGTTTCTCCTGACAAAAAAACAAAACCCAACAGCAAACAATGTAAATAACTTTGTAATTTCCCAGGGATGGTTTTTGTATGCAGAGTATTGTTCTCGACTCTGGGTAAGCAGAAATAAATTTCTTTCAGTCTGGACTAGGTGGACATCATTGAATCATCTCCAGGAGTAAGGAGTAAGACTCTCATCTGCTTACCTCCCAGAATTACAATCCTGAATATCCCCACTTTCACTCAGATCATGGGTGTGATGGAAATGCATCATCACTATTCTGAGAAGGAGAAAAGGTTCTGAGTGCAGTGCATTTGGGGAAGAGAGCAGCCTAGGCAGAGTTCCCTGTTTATGGAAAGGTACACCAAACAAACCTGAGGTTATCATATACAGGAGCATATGCCACTTTCCATAAAGGATGTGACCTCAAAAGAGTGAAACTTGAATTGTTTTACAATTTCTAGTGATTCTGCCAGTTACCAGAGAAGTAGAAATTCCTATTTCCATATAAAGGGAGCTTGTTTAAAAGGAATTCGGGCTAAGTCCTTTTACCATACAAGTGTCTACACCTAGTTAGAATAAGTACAGTTAGAACAAATCTCAGAAAAGTGGGGTGTGCTAGGGTCCAGATATCTCACTGCAGTTGCATCTCAAATAGATCGAGGTGAGGGTAGCTTATAAGGAAAAAGCAAGGATGAGTATATAATCTAGATGGAGATTAATGAAGATGGGTCATGGCATTGCTAGAGCTAGTCAAGGGACAAAAGAGATACAGCGTTGGTAGGAAGAGTAGGAGATTCTAGACTTCTTGGAGAAAGCTTGCAGTTGGGAGTGGACAAACCAATGAAAGAAGCCTTCAGTCAAGTGCTCCTGGGATGGGCAAGAAGTTTGGCAACCAGACTGTAAAGTTCATGGCCCCCAAGGAACCTGGCCCAGGGCTTCTCACACTTGATCATGCACAAGCAGGCCAGGGGAGTCTACTAAAAAGCAGATCCAGATTCAGCATCTGGCCAGAGATTCTGAGTTTCTGACCAGTTCCCAGGAGATGGTGCCTGCTGGTCCAGACCTCACATTTCAAGTAGTGAGATCCTGGAGGTCACATTTGTCCAACATGAAACGGTGGGGGGGAAGGGAGGGTGGTGAGGGGAAGTTTCTAAGAGCATGGGGCAGTCAGGACTATAACTTGATCTGCCTGCTAGACCAGTGGTGGTCTTGGAAGAGTAATGAGATTAAAAGCACAGGATGAGCTTTGACAGCTCCTGGCTGTGGCTGCTAAGATAGAGCTTTAAGAAACTGCCCTTCTGCCTTTCATTCCTGCTCGAGTACACTGTGGACAGAAGACTGGTGTGTGGCACTGCGATCCCTGTGGGCTCCTGAGTGGGTAAGATAGTGCAGTGGGTAGACATCACAGAAAATGCAGGGGAAAGGTCATCAGCAATTATGACATTGGAGGAAAACTGCTCTGGAACCAGACAGGTTCAGATCCTAACTTCACCATTTGCCTGCCAGCAGTGTGATGAACAGATTTCTTAAGTTCTCTATGCCTTAGTTTCCTTAAATGTAAAATGGGATAATGGTCCTAACCTAATAGGGCTCTTGTGAAGATTGAACGAGCTAGCACAGCTATTTAGAACAGGGACCAGTACTTAGAAAACAGCTATTGTTACTGCCAGCGGCCCTTGAAGCCACCACACTGCTCTCCTACCTCTACATGGCAGCATATCAGCAGTCTGACCGGGCACTGCCTCTCCCTCCCACTGGGCTAGCCTAAGAGCAGGGACCTTGTCTTATTCCCCCCTGGGAGTCCTCTCAGCACCTTATGCAATTCTTTGAGGTTATTGCTGAATGAGTAAAATAAAAAATTGTTCTCTGTCAGGAAAAGATTGAGATCCATTTGCTGAAATGGCTTTACCCCGTTTCTAAACTCAGGCTTCAGCTGGTATGGCAGCAAAGCCTTTCCTCTAAGCCCTCTGGAAGTCCTCAGCTTGATTTATTTTTGGATTGTGTCTCCAGAATATGTCAAAATAGCTTTCTCCACACAAGGGAAATGATTCCTATCCCCAGATTCTCCAGCCAATCTGAGCTGTCACTGTGCCCCCTTCTGGCACCACATTCTTGCAACATGTGGAGGAGGAAGCTCTGAAGAGCACATTTGTTTAAGTGGTGGAGTTTACTGCCTACACAACACTTCGTGGCCTCAGAGCCTTGTTGCCCATGGAAGGCAGGCTACTACTACAGGTAAATACCAGGATGGGGGTCTATCAGCAGCATTCTTTTACAGATAAGAGCAGCAAAATGCAGGGTAAAGAAACATGGTAAGGTCTCACTCAAAGGTTGGTTTGGTCTGATTTTGAAATTGGGTCCTCCTTTGTTCTTCCAAATGGGTAATTCATGATCCCCAACTACATCTGAAACCACAGATGGTTGGTGTTGGGCAAGATTTGTGGATACAGAGATGTGAGGCTTTTGTGTGACCTTTGGCAAAGCACTTTACCTCTGGAACCATTTTCTCATTCATCAGGTAAAGATTAGAACTAGGCGCCTTTTAACCCTAAATTTCTGAATCTAGGTCATTCTGAGAAGATTGCTTCAGCTGCCAAGTTTCCATTTAGCTGTTTTGGAACTTTGCCACTAGAGGCCACTGTGATTACAGTTCAGTCTTGCAGCTTCTCCAAAAGGCAGACGCCTACCAACGCCTTTCACGATTTTACTAAGCCAGGCCTGCCGCCCCTTGGGTATTGTAAACCAGCAACTGTTCAGATGTCAGGGGGCCAGAATTGAGATGTTAACCTGGGACTGAACAGGTCTAGGAAGGCTCTCTGCGGGCACATGCCCACCAGCCGCCTCCTGTCTACTGGACTAGGAGGAGGAGGAGCGCCCTGTACTAGGTACAATTGGATGAGCCCTGTGACTGCAGGGCCTGGTTTCTGTAGCATGCCTCATTATAAACAGCCAGTTCCCTCTTAATCTGCTTAATCCACTTTACAGTTGAATTCATTCATTCAGCAAGTAATTTTGGAGCCTCTCTTTTATGCCCAGCAACAGTGAATATTTTCATAGAATCAGAGAAAGTCAGTGAAAAGGATCCTTAGAAAAACGCAAAAAGTTATTTTTGCCCTTGTTCCATGTTCTGTGGAAGCTTATGTGTGTTTTTCTCTTAATCCCCCAAACCAGCCTCGAGATTGGCTTTATGGTGCCCATTTGTAGAGGAGTAACTGAGAACCAAAGGCAAATAGCACAAAACCTTGTACAGAGTGAATGAATGGATGCAGTAACAGGCCTTGGGGGTGCACTCGCTAATAAAAGGCAGGCTGGGACTTGAATTTGGGAACTTTGATCTCAAGAGTAGAATGATCTGATGTCAGGGCAGGGGTTGGAACCCGAATCTCCTGCCTTGCAGGCTCGCCTGTCCAATCCAACTGCTCCATCCTAGAGCGTCTCCAGGCCAAGCTGGCTGGAAGGCTACAGCCTTAGCTGTCTCCAAGGTCCTTCCAAGCAGTCTGAACCAGGCCTGTTGGGGCCCAGCAGGAGGGAGGGAGGACAGGAGCACAAATGACCCTAATCAGTGTATTTATTGGAATATAACTATATTACCCTCACAACTCGGCTAAGCTCACAGAAATCATTTTCCTCTCTGTGAGGATCTGGCCACAGCTTCATTAAAAGCTGCTGGCCTGAGCACCAGTGAGGAAGCCCTTGTACAGCAGAAGCAGTGAGGGAGGAGGGAGAAACAGTATTTCTACTTCCTCATTACGCTGATGGGAAAAATGGCCATTTCACATTCACTGTGTAAGAAAAGCCCCCAAAGGAAAGGGAATCCAAGGTTCACAGCTGTCTTTTTAGCAACATTCAGCTCTAAGGGAAAATATTCTCTGTGTCTCCCTTTTTTAAAGCATTTGTGATAAAATGAGAAGGGAAGAAACTTGTATTTGGGGAACTTAGCAGGTGCCAGGTACTTACACATCCTCCATTTAGTCCTCTCAAAGGCCTGTGAACAAGGGATCATAATGTTCATTTCATACACGAGTCCATTTCATGAACAAAGGCTCCAGGTCAGTTGGCTGGGTCTCAGCGGAGTTGGTCTTCAAGCTCTGAGTCGGCTTGCTCTCTTCCTCTATCATACCCTAAACTTGGGCAGGGACAGTTTCCTTACCATTGTTTGCTCCCTCCTTACTCTAGCTCAAAAAATTTGCAAATTGGTTTCCAAGCAAGGTCTCTGTGTGACCTTAGCAACCTCCTTCCCTAAGCCTCAGTTTTTCCATCTGTAGAATGAGAGGCCCAGATTAAGTTTCTAACCCCTGCTCTGGCCTAAACTTTGAGGACTTCATGATAGTATATTTCTTCCAGATAGCTCCCAGCACATCCTCATCTAATTGGAATCTCATACCGACTTAAAGGGGATGGTGATACGGGTATTAATACCCCATTTTTTAAAGCTGGGGGAACCTGAGAAGCAGAGAGACAATGAGGGGTTCAAAGTCACAACATGGAGAGAAGCTGGCATTCT